ACAAAAAAAAAAAAAAGAATAAGAAAAAGTTTGAAAATAAGAGAGCTATTGCTATTAATTATGTTCCCACGGCAGGGTTAGGGTTAGGTTTGAAAAAGTTTGAAAATAAGAGAGCTATTATTATTATTATTATTATTATTATTATTAAAGCCCGCATAGCCTGTTTAGTCCTAAGCCCGCTAGGGTTAGGGTTAGGTCCTTTTATTGGTAGCCCATTTAAATCTGGACTTTTTAGGCCCGGACCGTTTAGCCCGAATCCCGCTAGGGCTAGCCCGTTTAACATCTCTAATTATACGCCTCAGTTAATAATTCCGGTGAAAAAATTATGTCAAATCATATTGAATTAGTCGGTCTCAATGAATTGCTCTAACAGAATCCGATTTTTGTTCGTTCAATTTGTTATTTAAATTGGTATTTATGAATTTCAAATTTAAGTCAGAATATTATTTTGTATTTTAATAACATCACTCATTAGTATTTTGTTAGAGATAATTAGTATTATGCTATACAACATAATATTTTCTAAGTTCCAACATAATAATAATAAAATTCTATAAGATAATTAATTATAATTTATAATATAATAATTTCTAAATTCTAACTATAAGATAATAAATTTTATTTTATAATATAATATCTAAATTCTAATGTAATTTATATAATAAATAAAAATTTGATTATAGGAAAATCAAGATAATCTCGTGTGGCCTAATTATATTACAATACTAATTATAATTTCACTAATATATATGTATAATATTAATTATAACCAAGGTTCTGAAAGCCGGACCGGTCATGGAACCGGTCTAGCTACTGGTTCACTGTTCGACCAGTGGTTGAACCAGTTGGACTGGTATTTAATTTTTAATACTTTTAAACATATATATAATATTTTATATGATAAAACTTATATATAAAATTTTGTTAGTTAAATATTAAGACAATTAAAAACATTCAAATACTTAAACTAACTAATAGTAACTTATATATATATATATATAATATTTAAATATTTTTTTATTTAACTAACACAAAGAAAATAAAAATGAAAAGTATGATGATAAGTGTATTTTCTTCTATTATGTAAAAGTCCATAACGTTTTTTTCCATATTTCATGATAATAACTGTATTTTCTTCTATTATGTAAATGTAAAAGTCCATAACGTTTTTCATATTTCATGTACATTTAGTTAAATTTAATCATTTATCATTTTAAGATAATAATAAATTTAATTAATAATAATGTGATATTCATCTTGACATACATAGTGAAAATGTGTTAAAACATGTATCATTTAGTCCCACATTGATTTTGAAAGCAACAAAGAATGCAAAAAGTAGTTATAAAAGGCTAGAGGTTTGAGACAATCCCACATTGATTACAAACACAATAATAAAGCCAAGAGTGGCTATAAAAGATTGGGAGAGTGAAAACTTTGATTTGCAATTATCCCACATTGAATTAGAAAGTTCAACGAAAGACAAAGAATGACTATATATGCGGTAACAATTTGTCTTAATAATTATTAATTGGTTTCTCTTATATTTAATAGTAATAAAATTTTTTATATTTTCTAAAATATTTATTTTATAAAAAAAAATATAAAATAAAATAAAAAAAATGTGCCAGTCGCGCGCGGCCGAGCGAATTGCGGCCGCTATTAAGGGTCGGCCGCGCGAGCTGTGCCCGCAATCAGAGGCCGACCGAGCGAGTTGCGGCCGCAATTAGCGGCCGGCCAGCTCCAATAAAAAAAAAAAAATTAAAATTAGAAAAGAGCAAAATCATCATTTCCCGGGGCGGTATTTAGTAAAAAGCATGTGGTAAATAGTAACACCCTATTACTAATGATATTATAATTCCAGCTGTTTTATGAACAATTAGATTATTTGATCTGATGGATGATATTTATTCTCATTTCTTTAACTATATATATATATATAT